GAGGGAACAGCATCCCTCATGCCAGCTGTCTGTGCCTCCCAGCCCCCCGGACGCCCCTCTGTTGGCAGGGAGGAGGCAGCGCTCACTTCAGCTGGCGCAGGAAGCCCAGCAGGGCCCGGTGGAAGTCCTCTGGCTTGTCCAGGTAGCAGGCATGGCCAGCACCAGACAGCACGGCCACACGGTGCTTAGGGAGGTGCTGGAGGTTCTGCAGGGCCTGGGGAGCCAGGCTAGTGTCACGGTCACCATACAGGATCAGGGTGGGCGTCTTGGTAAGGGGAGAGAGAAAACAAGAGCAGCTGTCAGAGGGATAAACGGCCACCACACCCCCACGGGCTGTGCCCACCCTCATCCATAACCACGGGGGGCTGCAAAGCTGAGGGGAGGCAGGTGCCAGCACCCCCATGAGGTGGGGGTCACAGGTCCCCCTCACTCACCCCAAAATAGTGCCACCCTCCACATCACCCTGCAGCCAGCTGGCCCACAAGGCTCACCAATACCCAGGACAGCCCCCAAGAGCCCAAAAACCCACCTGGACTGCGCGGTATTGCTCAGCAGTGAAGTCCTTGGTGCCCACGGGTGCGATGGGCACAAAGCCGGCCAGCCGGTCCCCGTGTGCCAGGAGGAAGGGCAGGGCAAAGCGGCCGCTCATGGAGGGGCTGATGAGAACAGGCCTCTGCATGCCCAGCTCCTGCAGGACACGGTCCAGGAATGCCATCCGGCCCTGTGCTGTCAGCGCCATCTCCACTGGGGGAGAATCCCCATAGCCTGGTACAGGGAAGATGGCATGGGGTGGTCAGGGGGCATTGTGCAGCCTGCAGTGGTCTCTCCTCACCAGGGTTCAATGGCTTGGCAAAAAATGGACCCTTGATCAAGCCCCAGGGTTCTACAGTCGCAGCAATCAATGCCCCAGGACACAGACAAATCCCAGGCACAGTGCCCCAGGGATCACCAGCAGCTACCCAGACCCCTCCTGGAAGAGATCCAGAGCCCAGCAGTGACTAAGGCAAGGGACTGCAGCTGCCCAAAGAGATCAGCTAAGCACAGTGCCATGCTCCTACCGGGCAGATCTATGGCAACCGCACGGTAGCCCTCTCCAGCGAGCAGTGCCAGTGTGCCCAAGGCCTCCCACGTCTTGGAGGTGAACGCCTGGCCGTGCAGGAACAGGACATCAGGCCTGCGGGGGGAAGACAGGCGGGAAGGCGTTCAGGAAGGCTGCCGTGCCTGCAGCATCCAGCGACCACGGGGGCTGGTGAAGACCGGCTCGAGGGCCGGCCACCCCCACCTGCCGGCGGGCTGACCCACCTCCCGGGGCCCACAGCTGCTGCGGGAGCCTCCCTGTAGAACACGGGGGGTTCTCCCGCAGCCATCCCCGTCCGCACGGTGCCGTTGGCCGCCCGCCAGGCCCGCTTCCCCTCGTCAGGCCGTGAGCGCCGGGCGGCCGGGAGCAGGAGGTACAGGAGGAGAGTGAGGAGCGCCCCGAGGAGCAGCAGCCCCAGCCGGCTGCGGGCAAGCAGCATCTCCGCTCCCGTTGGAGGAGAGCGGCTGCGCGGGGCTGCGGGATCCCAGTCCCGCTGCTGCGGGGAAACGGTCCCGGTCCCCGCTGCTCTGCTCAGCTCCGGTCCAGCCCGAGCCCCCGCCCCGCTCTGCCGGCCCCGCTCGGCCCCGGCCCTGCCGCCCCCGGCCCGCCGCTCACGGCGCCGTCGCGCCCTCGGGCCCCGCCTGGCGGCAGCCCGCGGCACTACAGCCCCGAAGGACACAACGGCCGGGGCCCGTAGCGGAGCCTGGCAGAGCTCGGCAGAATTCGGCTATGTTCGCCAAGAGCTCGGCGGCTCTCGGCACAGCTCGGGCAGGGCTCGGGTTGGGTTCAGTACTGCAGGATAGAGCTCGGGCTCTGGTCTACAGCGCTCGGCTTGGCTCGGTAGAGTTCGGGTAGGGCTCGGTTTTGCTCGGCAATTCTCGGCTTTGCTCGGGAAAGCTCGGCTTCGCTTGGCGGGGCACGGCCCAGCCCGGCGCGGCCCCAGCGGTTCCCGGGGCCGCCCCGGACCTTGCGCTTCATGACGCGGTGCCGCCGTTCTCTCGCCCGCCCCGCCGCTCTTTGGCCCCGGGGCGCGGCACCCCCAGTCCCGTGGTGCGGCGGGGAGGAGGCGAGCGGCGGCCTGCCCCGTGTGCGGAGCAGCAGGTAAGGGCTGCAGGTCCAGCGATGGACGGAGAAACTGAGGCAGGGGCGGGCCCGTGAGGCCACCTGGCACATCAGTGACCCCGGTGGTGCCACCACAGTAAGGATGATGCCGGTGTGACCCTTCACAGCCCTCTTGCCTTCCTGCCACCACCGGGCCTCGACAGGGCAGAAGGGCCGTCAGCCATCCCGTTCCCACCTGTCACCCCAGTTAACAGCGCCCCGGCCTCCAGGCATGGCCACCCCGCGGGTCACCGAGAGCACCGTCACGGTGCAAGGACAGAGCCTCTTCTACCGCCGAGCTGAGCCAGCCCAGGCAGTGCCCAGGCTGACTGTGCTGCTGCTGCATGGCATCCGCTTCTCCTCCGAAACCTGGCTGCAGGTGGGGACACTCGCCACGCTGGCTGAGAATGGCTACCGAGCCGTGGCCATCGACCTGCCGGGTAAGGTGTGGTGAACACAGCCCTAGAGTCAGGTGGGGTAGCCACCGGTTTGTGGTGGCAGGATGGCAACCCCGGTGTCCTGCTCTGCTGTGCTGGCTTCTCCCTGTCATTCAGGCAGTGTGGAGCCTGACAGGGCCACTTGTGTCTTGCACGATTCAGGGCTGGGGCGCTCGAAGGATGCTGTAGCCCCAGCACCCGTGGGCCAGCCAGCACCGGCAGCATTCCTGAAGGCAGTTTCAGAGGCTCTGGACCTGGGTCCAGCTGTGGTGATCAGCCCATCGCTCAGTGGCATGTACTCGCTGCCCTGCCTCTTAGAGCACAGCCAGCTGTTCAAGGCCTATGTACCTGTGGCACCCATCTGCACTGAGAAATTCACGGCGCAGCAGTATGCCCAGATCAAAGTACGGCCTGGAAGGGCACTGGGGAGGGCAGGGAACTGGGAGGAGATGGTGCAGAGGGGATCCTGGCGCCGGGGTTGAGCAGGGGAAAGGCCAAACAGGCCAGGAACCCTGTTGCCACTGAAAGAGGAGAACCTGATGATGAAGGAATGTAAAGGTGGGGTAGTGGGAGGTAAAGAAGGGACAACTGGAGACCCAGGAGTCTGAGCTTCAGTTTCCCTTTGTCATACTGGGTGGGGGAGAAGGGCAAGTGACTCCCCTCCAGGGTGTCCCTGGCAAGGAGGAGCAAGTGCCTGCCTGGGTGATACTTGCAGGCTCAGGGTGCTTTCCCCCTCTACAGACCCCCACACTGATCGTGTATGGGGACCAGGATGCAGAGCTGGGGCAGACCAGTCTGAACAACCTGCAGCACCTCCCTGAGCACCAGGTGCTGATGCTGGAGGGTGCAGGACACGCCTGCTACCTGGACAAGCCAAATGAGTGGCACCATGGACTCCTGGCCTTCCTGCAGCAGCTGAAGTGAGCAAGATGGGACCACAGAGCAGGAGGATGTGACCAGCCCACACACCCCTCTGCCTGCACATGCACCCTTGTGCCAACCCGGGCACTCACACTGCACTGGCCCACACCAGCACCCACCGCTCTTGAGACCAAATAAAACCCCAAGTTCTGCCACTGCTTTGCTGCCACCTTCATCCTGCTTCTTTTCCACCTTTCCCACCTCGTTCTCCCATCCCTACCTCCATGGCTGCTCTTGCACACAGGTTTGGGGGGTGACAGCAGGGAAGGTGCAGCCACTGAGGGATGGTACACTCAGGGATTGTGGATGGGTGAGTGCCAGCCTTGCTGGAGCCCACCCATCACTCCTGATGGGACCCCCATGAATCTCAGAGGGTTCCCAGGGAGCCCTGGGGCTGTGTTCAGGGACAGGTAAGTCCCAGAAGGCAGTGACATCCGTGTCCCCAGCCGGCCAGCCTCCTCTTCATCCTCCTCTTCCTCCTCCTACCCCTCCTGGCACGCACCCAAGTCCAGGGTAATCCACAGGGGCTTAAAAGGGAGCTACCAGCCCTGGGAGGCTCCTGCCCATGTCCAGCACCCAGGGGAGGTGGGGGGTGATTTACCAAAGAGTGGCTGCCATGGACAGATGAGGGGGCGGGCAGGGAGGCCTGACAGACAGGGGACAAGACCCCTGCCTGCCACCTGCCTGCTCTGCCTTTGGTGCTGCTGCACCGGGCACTCGGGGGCACAGATGGAGCCGGCAGCAGGGTGCCCCCCCCAGTGCCCCCCCTGCCCCAGGCTTGCCTGGGCTTTAGCTGCTTACGCCAGGGCCCAGGAGGATTTAGTGGGGGAGGTAAGGGGGGGGCACTTTTCTGTGGGTGCAGGATGCCCGTGTGGGGGACACAAGGCAGTGCCAAGGGTGCAGGAGCTGGTCTCTGCCCTGGCAGTCTGGCAGCACCCCTGTATGGAGCATCCCGGGCCCCCCAGATGGCTCAGGTCCCCTGTCGCTGTCCCAACCCCCCCATTCACGGGCACCTCCTGCCCCTCCAGGCACCACCCTGCAGCAGCAGCCCGGGGTGCCAGCGGGCCTTGGGGTGCCAGCTGCCCCATCCCTGCCCGCTCCGGTGTCCTTGAGCCCTCGAGCTCTGCCAGCTGATCGGCTTCCAGGAAAAAAAACACGCAATTACAAAGAGGGGCGATGTGTGAGCCAAAGGGAGGGGGGCCGGGGGGGCCAGGAATGTCCCCAGCGGTGGCAGATGGCCTTACCCAGGGTGCATTGTTCCTTTTAGTGTCTCTTATCCGCTGTAATAGGATCCCGGAGGGAGGGATGTGGGAGAGGGGAAGAGCGAGGGGGGCCCCGGCGTGGACCGGGGTGGGGGCCGGGGCTGCCAGCTTGGCCCTGGCCTGTCAAGCGGCTCATTGTTCCTGCCCCGGGTGTCACTGGGCGCCGCCGGGGACAATGTGGCACTGAGAGGGGCGGCCGGCGGTGGAGGGACGAGGCGCACGCAAAGGTACCCGCCCGGCCCCACTCCCGCGGGGACCAGGGGGCTTGGGGCAGCCGGGAGGGCGAGAACAGAGAGGTTTCCCCAGGGACGGGGTGGGGGCTTCCTCCTGTCGTCCCCCTTCCCTTTGTCACCCGAAGGTGCCCCGAAGGACGGGCGGTGCCCAGCTTGGTGGCTGTCCCAGTGCCAGCCATGGCAGGTGGCCTGTGCCCATCACCGGGGCCTTTGCCGTCCCTGCCAGCCTGCCTCACCTGGGGGAGAGCCCCCCTGCCCGCACACCCCCCGGGCGTTGTCTGTGGCAGCGGGGGGACACCCGTGGCCCTGCAGCGTTCCCCCGTCCCATCGCCAGCCTCATCCCTCTTCCCGCGGCGGGGTCTTTGTCCCTGGCGGATTCCTGCTGCCATTCATCCCAGGGGGACTGGGGACCCTGGCCGTCCCTGCCGGCACCCCACACCTCTCCGGCTGCCGCGGGCAGGGTGCATCCCTCCCTCGCTCCCCCTCCGCCCCACTCCGGGCTCCCCTGCACCAGGATCGGCAATATTCCCTCTCTGGCTCTCCACCTTTCCCCAGCCCGCGGTAACGAGGGGGTGCAGACGGGGCGCTCAAACCCCCCGGGGGTGCGGGGCACAGCGCTTGGGGGCTGCGCCCCCCCGTTCCCCTGATGCAGGAGATGTGCTGTAGCGGTGACGAGTCCTGCCAGCACCTAAAATAGCCGCCCCCCCCCCCGCCATGCCCGCGGACGCGGCCCCAGCCTCAACACGGGTGCTTTGTTTCAAAGCTGCTTGGCATCGCCCAGCTCGCCGGGAGCCAGCGGTGCCGCAGCCGCCCACCCGGGCCTGCACACACACTGATTGTCCGGCTCCCAGGGGCCCTGGCCGCCCACGGCCGCCCGGGCACAGGGTCCGGGGGCCCTGGGGTGCTCCAGGAGGGGACACAGCGTCAGTCAGCAGGCATCATAGGCATCATGCTGTGCTTTGGTTGGGGTGGTCCCCGTCTGGGAATTTGCATCAGTGTTCCCTGGGACTTTGTGCATGGGCACGGGGAATGGGGGGAGGAGGAAGAAGGTGGCTTGCATAGCCCGTGAGATCATCCAGGCCACCTCTGTTCTCCCCACTGTTTGCATTTGCAAACAGAACCTTATCCCACAGCCACGCTCCACACGCCTTGCCTCCTCCACCGTATCCATCCAGTTCTGACTTTGTGCAGCTCAAGCACACACATAGCATGGGGTCCCTTTTGGGGGTGCAGGGTGCCTGTGGGGTGCCATGGGGCCATGTGAGCCTCTCCTGCCAGAGGAGGGCACAGTGCTGCCTCTGCCTCAGTTTGCCCATTCCCCAGCCATAGGATATCGAAGCTGCAGATCTGGGGGTGGGGGGTTAGCTGGGGCATGTCCCCTTTCTGAAGACCACCATGTCCCACAGGCTCATCTCGCCCTCCCGCCATGGCATCACCAGACGGATCCAGTGGCGTAGGCGGCAGTCCCGAGGAGACAGAGCTCAGCATCACCCTGACCCTCCGCATGCTCATGCACGGCAAGGTAATGGCAGGGGGCTCAGTGCCACTGAGGGGACAGCGATGCCTGGGCTGAGGGGCCATGCTGGAGCCCCAGCTCCTCACCATGCCCTGTTTTCTGTGCCCTGTTTTCTTCCCATGCTCCCAGTCTCCCCTGGGAATAGCATTCCCAGAAGGATTTCTCTCCCCATCCTAAGCCAGGGAGGGGCACATTCCCATGCCCCAGTGTCACTAGTTAAGCCACCAGTGTCACTGGGGCACAGTCTGCCTGTTGCCAGGCTGTGGGCAGAGGAGGGATGTGGCATGCAGGGAGCCACCTCCTGACAGTGCCACTCTTCTCTGTCTTTTCAGGAGATTGGCAGCATCATTGGCAAGGTAAGATTTGGGGTCCTGTGTGTTGCCAGCACTTGGCTCCCCTGGATCTGACCACCCACTCTGTTCCTTTACCTGCAGAAAGGAGAGACCGTTAAGAGGATACGAGAGCAGGTAAGGGCATGCTGGTGGGCTGCCAGGTCCTGCTGCCTGTCATGCCTGTACCTGGCAGCTCCCACGTGCCTGCCTGCCCCCCTAAATCCCAGGTGGAACCAGGGAAAACAAAGCAGCACCCCAGGGAAGGCTGCCAGGGGCAGGTGGGAAGGCATCAGTATCCCCCTGTGAGGCTATCCCTGGGGGAATTCATGAAGCACAGGGCTTATGATGTCCCTAACGGGATGTGACACTGTCCCCAGAGCACTGCACGCATCACCATCTCGGAAGGGTCCTGCCCCGAGCGCATCACCACCATCACCGGCTCCACCGACGCCGTCTTCCGCGCTGTCTCCATGATCGCCTTCAAGCTGGAGGAGGTAGACAGCCCTCCTAAATCCCCACCAGGTGCCCCCACACCTGTGGGATCCTGGGGTCTGACGTTGCATCCCACATCCCTCACAGGACCTGGGAGCAGGGGGCGATGGGGTGTCAGCAGGCAGAGCCCCGGTGACCCTGCGCCTTGTCATCCCCGCCAGCCAGTGCGGCTCCCTCATCGGCAAGGCAGGAGCCAAGATCCGGGAGATCCGGGAGGTGAGCCTGAGGGGAGCCTGGAGGGGGGATCCCCTTTTCCCCCTGGGGGCACAGAGCCCTGGGTGTGGGGGCTGACACAGTCCCACAGGGGCTGAGGGAGGTGATGCAGGAGAGGGAGCGTCACCCTGCAGGTCCTGCAATGGTCCCTGGGGGCTCAGGAGGGGGACAGGGGGGGTGTGAGGTGCTGGTTGGGGAATGCCAGCATCTCCCTGCTTCCTGCAGAGCACAGGGGCACAGGTGCAGGTGGCTGGTGACTTGCTGCCCAACTCCACTGAACGGGCTGTCACGGTCTCGGGGGTGCCAGACACCATCATCCAGTGCGTGAGGCAGATCTGCGCTGTCATCCTGGAGGTACCTGCCAAGCCCCTTGCCCAGCCCAGAGGGCATCTGCTACCCACCTCCCCCTCCCTAAGGCTTCCCACGCCCATCTGGACCCAAACACCAGGGTTCCCCTGTGTGGAAACCCATAGGAGCACCCTGCCTTTGTAGTGCTGGGGCTGTGCCCAGCTTGATGGGGGCATAAGGGGGCAGAGGGTCCTTGGGGCTACAGGGGCATTCAGCTTCATCTCTCATCTCCTCCACCTCCTTCCTTCTGTCTCTAGTCGCCTCCGAAGGGGGCCACCATACCCTACCACCCTGGTCTCTCCCTGGGCACCATCCTGCTCTCTGCCAATCAGGTAAGAGGCCACAGCATCTCTGAAGGCATGAGGTGGCCAGGAGGGAAGCCTCTACCAGCAAGGGGCAACTCTGGTGGGCTCAGGGTAGTCTCTCTGCCCCAAGGGGGAGTCATCTGAGACAATGGTCCTCACCTGGCTCCCCACTGATGCCCTACTTTTCTCTCCCCAGGGCTTCTCCATGCAGGGCCAGTACAGCGGGGTCTCTCCTGCAGAGGTGAGTCTGTCTGTGTGGCAATGGGGTCTGTGCCCACCAGGATGGGTGCTGCTGGGAATGCCTGTCTTGGGAGGCACTGGGGCACAGCTGACTCTGCCATCACCCCTAACACCACCTTCCTCCTCTTGGCACTGTCTGGGCAGGTGACGAAGCTGCAGCAGCTGTCAGGGCATGCGCTTCCCTTCGCCCCCCTGGGCCATGCACCCACCATGGTGCCAGGTGAGCATCTCCCATGCTCCCCCGAGGCTGGGTGTGCCCCTCCTGATCCACCCTGACACCTGGCCCTGACGAAGGGGTTTCCCTCCTCTGCACCCTTTCCAGTCCCAGCCCCCCCAGCATGTCTATCTGCCCCTCCAGCACAACCTTGTCATTGTTTTCCTGGGGTCACTGCACCCACCAGTGCTCCCCAGGCCTGCAGTGGGAGAGCACCAGCACCAAATTATGACTTGTTTCTGTGCCCTGTCCTCCCTTCCTTGCCCCAGCAATCCTTCAGGTTTGTCCCCAGGGCCACTCACCATCCCAGTATGGGGCTGGAGTAGGGGCACAGAGCTACTGGAGAGCTGCCCTTTCCTTGCTGACATCTCTGTCTCTCTCTTCAGGTCTGGATGCCAGCTCCCAGAGCAGCTCCCAGGAGTTCCTGGTGCCCAATGATGTATGTATTGATCTGGGAATGACAAGGTGGACCACAGCTTGTCCCCACCCATGTGGCACTTTGCAGAGGCCAGCACCCACTGATGTACACAGTGGAGGCTCTGCCAGAGCTTAGGAGCAGGAGGGAGTAGCTGGGGCAGAAGAAAGGGAAAACTGAAAATCAGGACAGTGGGAAGAGTTTGCCAAGGAAAGGCCTTGGCATGTGGCACAATGCCAGCAAGAGTGAGACCAAAAAGAAGGGTTTGCCCAAGGAAAGCATTGTCCTGTCCTCCCAGTGCCTTCCACAGTTTCACCTCTGAGGTGTAGGTGGTGTCTGGGTGAGGCCTTTGGAGCTCCCTGCTTGGCAAGATGCCCTGGATGCTCCTGGCCCATCCCATCCCATCCCATCCCATCCCATCCCATCCCATCCCATCCCATCCCATCCCATCCCATCCCATCCCATCCCATCCCATCCCATCCCTGCCCTTTCAGCTCATCGGCTGCATCATTGGCCGGCACGGCAGCAAGATCAGCGAGATCAGGCAGATGTCAGGTGCCCACATCAAGATTGGCAACCAGACCGAGGGCTCCAGTGAGCGGCACGTGACCATCACAGGGACCCCTGTCAGCATCACCCTGGCTCAGTACCTCATCACAGCCTGGTAGGTGTCAGCCTGGGGGGGACTCATACTGGGTGCTAGTGAGGGGTGGCTCTTCACCAGCACCCCAAGGCAGCTTTTGGAGGATCCACATCAACCTCAGGAAGAATGAGCTGGGTGGTGCTTTGAGATCCTGAGGTGGTAAGTGCAGGACCCGTGACCCACCAGATTTGAGGCCCAGTTTTTTAACCCAGGATGTGCCATGGATATGTGTGCCAGAAGGGATGGGGTGCGCGGCTCCTGCACCCTAAGCTTGTGGTGGGAGAAGCACTCTGTCACCATGGTATTCATCATCATCCTTCTCTCTTTCTTCCCCAGCTTAGAGACTGCTAAATCTACCTCCCAGGTGCCACCAGGCCCTGGCTCCATGGACCTCGGCATGGGCTTCTCCCAGCCCCTCGCCCCAGGCTCCGGTGCGGCTCTTCCCGCCGTTGCCCCAGCGCCCCCGGCCCTGCTGGGCACCCCCTACGCCATCTCCCTCTCCAACTTCATCGGCCTCAAGCCCGTGTCCTTCCTGGCACTGTCCCCGTCCTCCGTGGCAGGTCCCAATGGTGGCACCACCACCTACACGACCAAGATCTCGGCGGCCAACGGCACCAAGAAAGCTGACCGGCAGAAGTTCTCGCCCTACTGAACCCCACTGGTGGGTGGGCCAGGGGGCCCAGGGTGCTGTTCAGTAGCAGGGACACCTTCCTGCCACCCACCCTGATCTCAGCCTCTGCCAGGTGCCCCATGTTCCCCCCCCCAGGGAAGGGAAGGGTCTTCCTGGTGGCGATGCCTGCTGGAGGAAGGGGCAGTTTTGTTGCCTGCTGTCCATCCCAGCAGCTCTGTGCCCCCCTCCCTGATTTTCTGCACAGAGACCATGTGTCCTAGTATTGGGTGCGGGGGAGGGCTGTCCCTGCTGGCCTAGGGTCCCTTCTCCCAGTGCCCTGTGCTGGTGTGGGACCCCTACTTCCTGCTCCTCACCCTGCCTCCCCTGCCATCCTGCTCATGCCCACACTCCATCTGGCACCAAAAGCCAGGTCCCACTGGATGAAGACTGCCTGGCCTCTCCAGGAGTCCCACTTCCACTGGCTCTGGTGGGGGGCCCTCCCTGGGCCACCCTGGGCCAACCCCATCCAAGAGCCAGTCCCTGCTGGCTTGGAAATGCTGTATATATATGAGTCTATATTTTTCCTCCTTTGTAACTTATCAATGGTTTAATAAAAAGATAAAATTTACAAGAAAATAACAATAATAATAATAATAATATTCCCCACCCTGGGTGGAGACTTCCCCCAGAGCAGAGGTGGCCCCAGCTCCTGGGTACTTGGGTGGTGGCTGGAAGGGCATCCCTGTGTCTACGGGGGGATGCTGGCCTTCAGCCCCATCTCTCTGGGGGTCTTCTTGGAGCCCCTCCCTGCCACAGGGCAGCTAGAGAGGCCACAGGGCAGTTTTCCCTCAGGCCTTCAGTTACTTCTGGAGTAGGACATCTACAACCCACCATGCCAACACCATCCCTGGGACCTTTGTGGGCAGGCAGAGGGGGATGTACCCCTTCAGCATTCCCCGAAAGGGTCCAGTCCCTTTCCAGCAGTGGGGGGGGGGGGAACCCTATGAAAGTCCCCAAGCCCTTCAAAAGCAATGAGACTGAAGAGGAACAGCAGTTCCTGATCCCCTCTTGCTGCTGCTGCCCTGGGGCAGCCCACACAGCCACCCCCCACCACCCTGTGTCACCAAGGCCAATCCAGTGTGCCCTTGGCTGGCAGCCCAGGCTGGCGCATGGCACTGCTGACCAGGCTTCAAACTGGGCAGCTGTGTCCATAAACAGCCCAGTATGGACCCCCTGACAGCCAGTTCCCCCCCCCTCCCTGCCAGCTGAGAGGGACAGAGGGCATGGCCAGGCGTGGCCACGGGCATTGTATGCTGCCATGCCAGCAGGACAAACAGTGACACAGCCAGAGCCAGCCCTGTGGGTGTGTCCCCCGAGCAGTGTCACAGGGAGCAGAATCTCCACACAGACATTAGTTTTGGGTTAAACAGCCAAGGATGGAAGTCTCCGTGTCTGCCATCCAGGCTCAGCAGGGGCTGGGCCCTGGTGTTACTGGTGTTAGTGGCATTAGCTGGAATGTTGCTCCTGGATAGAGTACAAGGGACATTGGCCCTTCCCGCCGGCCAGGCACGCTCCCACTGGAGCAATGGAGACAGAGGTGCCCCATCCCCTGCCCCTGTGCAGGATCCCACTGGCACCCCATGTCTTGAGGAGAGCCCATCCCTGGAACTGGGCTGTGCTGGTGGAGACAGGGACAATTCCAGCCTGCAGAAGAGAGATGTGACTTCCTCAGATCTGCTACCTTCTCCCAGCGGAGAAAACATCTTTTAACATAAGCTCAGAGAGGAGGCAAAACCTGCACAAGGACTCCTCCAAATCCAAGAGATTGGGTCCAAGCAGGTCTCACGGGTCACTGGCAGGTCTCCTGCCCAGCACCGTAGGACAGATCCTCCTTCTCAGCTGCTCTCTTCAGGAACTTGACCTGGGGTGGGGAAGCTTGTTGTGGTCTGGTCCAGTCTGTTCCTGGGGCTGGGGCTGATGCAGCTGGTGTGGGTTTCCAGTGTGCAAGTTGCTCTCTGAAGGAACTGCAAGAAGTTTTCCTGAACAGAAGCCTCTGAGATGGAAAGACAGAGCTCCTGACCAAGTGGATGGTTGAGACAGCTGCGCCGGAGCCGGGCCAGCTCCTCGCGGATTTGGCGGTTCAGCAACCCATAGAAGAAAGGATTAACAGCAAAGGAGGAGTAGGCAATCCAGGTGACCACCATCTCCCCGTGCCCACCGCCCACAGTGGCAAGAGGGACAGAGGAGTGCAAGTGGAAAGCAAAGAATGGCAGCCAGCAGCACAAGAACTGTCCCACAATGAGGACCAAGGTGAGGATGGCCTTGTTGCTTCCCAGAAGGCGATCTGGGATCAGCCTGGGCAGCATCAGGATCCTGGCAGTGAGGATGGTCACCTGGCTGGCGATGGAGTCACATCGGTGTCTGGGTGCCACTGCCTGTGCTGGCACAGGTGCCTGCTGCAGGGACGCAGTCCGGGCCACACGGTAGATGCTGGAGTAGACAGCGAGGATAATGATGGTGGGCAGAATAAAGCAGGTGATGCTGAAGAGGATCACAAAAACTTTCTTGTGGGCCCCGGGGCTCCAGTAGACCGTGCAGCGGCTGGCACTGGTGGCCCCGTTGCCATGAGGCCATGCCACTAGTGCCAAGATAGTGATGAGAACAGACTTGACCCAAATGAAAACCACTCCAGCCACTGCCAGCCTGATGGTCATCTTAACCTCATACCTCAGGGGGTGGACGATGTAGTAGTACCGCTCCACGCTGATGATACAGATGGTGAGAATGGAGGCACTGATGAAGCAGATGTTCAGGAATATCACGGCCTTGCACTCAGCAATGCTGTAGATAACCCAGTTGAAACAGGAGGAGCTGGAGATGATCCCCAGGGGCATGAGGAAAATGGCTGAGAGGAGATTGACCACGCAGAGGTGGCAGACAAAGATGAACTTCCTGAAAAGGGGCGTTTTGAGGATGATGACCATCACCACGATGTTGGCCACCAGGGCGGTGAGGGTGAGCAGGATCATGCAGAAGAGGCCCACCACCTCCTGGCCAATGGAGTGCTCGGGGATGGAGAGCAGCTCTAGGCTGTCCGTGGTGTTTGACCCCGTCCAGCTCGGCATCCCCCTCCAGGGCTAAGCCAGCAGCTCTGGTGCCTGGGCAGCAAGGGCTCTTCTCCTGTGTCCCAGAGAGGGTAACCCCACCACAACCATGGCTGCTACCTTCTCCTTGCCTGCTGGGATCAGGAGCCAGGTGTGAAGGGAACGAACCAAAATGAAGAGCCACAGAGAAACACAGAGACAACCAGCACACTTCCAAGGTGCTGGAGGAGGGAGAGGTAGCCAGTAAAGTCATATCACCCTGGCTCTCCCAAAGCTGCCACCCAGGCTGTCCCCAGCCTGGCCAGGGATAGCATAGCTAGGTCCTGTGGGCAGCCATGCCAGGCTGGCACCCCGTCCCCCCTCTCCAATGGCACCAGTATGTCCTGAGGTGGGACAGCACAACTCGCCTGTCCCAGCCCTCTTGCTCTGGCCACAGGGGACCCCAGGGTGGGTGGGATTCAGCGCACCTTTGCTCCTGGGGACATGGGCGATGCTCCTCTCCTCACTGGGGTCCTGCTTGCTGGTGTTGCTGGTTCCGTTGCTCCCGCGGCAGAACGGGGCTGCCGGTCCTGTGTGAGGCCACGCTCGCCCGTCCCCGCTCCCGTCACCGCTCGTCATCCTGTTTGCCTGCAGCCCGCCAGCTGCGGATGGCACCAGCTGTCACTCCCGGCACTGCCTGCACTGCCTGCACCCGTGGCAGTCCCACGGGCACAGCTGCTGGGTCCTAGCAGCCGGCGGGGGCTCAGGAAGGGGGGATCGGGGTTCCTGAGCCCTGTGCCCCCCTGAATGGCCACCCACTGCACCAGGCCTGATCCTTCCACAGGAACACCTCAGCCCTTCCTTGGGCTCAAGGGACAGAGCTACAGGCAGGTCTGCAGCAAATCATCTCCACTGTCACAGGGTATCACAGGGTGACTGATACCCAGGGGCATCAGGGTAACACAGCTGGGAGCTGCCCTTCCCTGGCAGCCTGAGCACCTGGACATGTGCTCAAGGGGCACACGTTAGCACAGAGAGGGGCTTGGCATGGGTGCCAGGCTGGGGCAGGACAGCAGACATGGCATGAGGCATGGCACTAGAGGGAGGGCAAGCACTCGCCCTCAGGATGGATGGATGTAATTGTCCATGCCCAGGCAGGGCAGCAGATCTTGCTCATCCTCTGTAGCTCTGATGCCACAGGGTAGGCATGAGCTGTGTGCCTTGCTAAGGTGATGAGAGCAGTTGGCTCTCAAAGACAGCAGCTTTCATGTGAAGGCTTCAGCCCCTCAAGAGCCACCCATGCCATCCCTTCAGGGACCCACTGACACCCTTCCCTACAGCACACCCGCCTTGCTGGGCAGGAAAGCGAGAGCAGCACCCGGCGCAAGGCACAGTGCTTTTATTGACAGTCAAAGCAAGCTCAGTCTCCATGCCAGCCTGTCCCTCTCCAAGCCCCAGGTGGGGTGGCCAGAGAATCCAGATCACCGTGGCTGATGAGTGTCACCTCCTGGTGCTGGGCCATGGCCAGGGTGCTCCCAGGCACCCTCAGAAGCGGAGCTGCACAAGGTAGCGGAGCCGGCACTGGCTTTCCTTGTAGATGAGGTACTCGCTCTGGCTGAAGGAGGAGTCCTTGTAGGCAGGCATGGGGATGGGCTTGCCCTGGCATACCAGCACCTTCTTGCCATCCAGCAGCACCTCGTCATCCTGTGCAGGATCTGGGCCAAAGATACCCAGCACCACATGAAACCTGAGATCTGGCCTCTCTCCCCCCTGCCCTGTGTGCAGCACAGCCCCAGAGCTGCCACAGCCCTCCTGCTCCCAGCTCACCCGGCTCTGTCCGGCCGCAGGCCAGGACACTGTCATAGCCAGCAGGTGGCTCACACAGCGTGGGGTCATCGCGGGTGATGCGGTAGGGCTTGCCCAGGGCCACCTCCGTCAGGAACATGATGCCGACTTTCTTAGATGTACAGCCCACTGCCATGGGAGAAAGGGATGGGAATGATAGCACCATCCCTGGCACTCCCATCTGGTTGTGCCCAGGCCATGCTGGACCACAAGGACCAATCACCATGGGAGGGAAGGGGTTTGGCAAGCCCACAGCTGCCTGGTAGGGGGTATGCAAAGGCAGCCAGGCTCACACAGACCCTGTGGGCATCACAAGCAGCCCAGCCCATCCCAGGACCCTCACCATAGCTGGCTGATTTGCTGTTCTCAGAGGCAAAGTAGATGCCCTTGCCCACGCGGCCGCCGGAGTGGGGCATGATGCGCAGCCCGCTCCTCAGGATGGCCGCCACCACCGCCACGCTGGTGCCGTGCCACAGCAGCCGCCGGTGCTCCAGCAGCTCATGGGCCTTGAAACGCTCATCCTGCAGAGATGCAGACATAAAGGCTGTCCACAGAGGGACACATGGGTGCACAGGGGTGGAGGACTGCCACCCACCTCCCCAGTCCAGCCCCAGTGCCCGGCTGGAGGGGCAGGAGAGTGGATGCCTGTTTGGCCCTGGCCAGCTGGGCTGAATGCCCTCCTGGGTGGAGCAGCCCTAAAGCAATCCTGGAGTGCAACCATGGCTTCCCCACTGTGACATGGGAGAATCACCTCCTCCTCACCTCACCATCTCGGGCCACCTGCCAGATGTTGAGGATGTGGAGTTTGTGCCCAGTCTGCGTCACATAGTTCTGGATCAGCTGCCAAGGGGGAGGCAAAAAAGCTGTGTCACTCCAGACAGCTATCTCAGCAATGCCCATGGTCCCCCTGGGACTGTAGGAACCTTTGGGGTGCCCACAGGCCTGACATAATTGTTTCCCATTATGGGACACTGTGGCACAAGCAGCACCTGGTACTCCCGGGAAGATGGGTCAAGCAGGGAGAGCTGGCAGCAGAGCAGGGCGTAATCCTGATCCAGTGGATGGGCAACTTCTTTCTCCTCCTCCTCCTTCTCTTTCTGTGCCTGCAGGCTCTGTGCAAGCTCAATGTCAGCCAGCACCTGTCAGGGACAGAGCAGGGACATCCTCAGCACCAGTGCTGGGCACTGTGCTGGGGGACCGGGGCAAGCCCAGCCTCCTGCCATAGCTCCTGCCCCACCAGGAAGGGATGTCAGGCACTGTGTGCTCTGGCATCTCACCAACAGCATGTCCTTCTTGGCACGCAGCAGCTCAGGGGAGTTGATGGTGGGCGGCCGTGCCCGCCCAAAGTTGTGTGGGACGATGGTGTAGAAGCGCGAGGAGAGTTCCTCCAGGCAGGTGGCCTGGGGGGGCTGCTCCCTCAGAGCTGCCTCCAGCTCCTCCAGTGCCTCAAAGCCCCTCGCGATCTGCTGCTTGCTCAGCTTCCCCAGAGGCATCTTCTTCACATCTACAGGGAAGGACAAGGTGAACCCATCCACCCACTCGCCCCGCAGCAACCTCCAAGAACCTCCAGTATCACCATGGGCAAGTGTGGGCAGCCAGCATGGTGTGTCCACAGCCCCATCAGGTGCCAGGATATCAGAGGGGATGCTCTAAAAACCACCACCAGCACCTCTGCTCCGTTCACCTCCCCACCTGCACCCCCAGACAGAGCCCATGCCACCCATCAGCCACCACCTCCTACCAATGTTCATGGTCTGCATGGCATCCCGGAACATGTCACTGCTGAAGATGAGGGACACCAGGTCCTGCGTGGCTCTGTCCAAGGTGCAGGGCAGCACCCGCTGCTTGCACACCTTGTCCCCATCCACGGCATCCACCTGCAGACACCCCACATCAGCTGTGGGCCTGCAAGGGGCTGTGGGAGCACAGCACCAGGGCTGCCCACCTCTGTGGGGAGAGCCCGGTCCTGGGGCAGCAAAGCAATGGGCAGGTGCTGCCTCCACTTCCATGGCCACCCACAAGGCCATGTTCCTCATTCAGGATGCCCTCCCACTCCATTTTAACCCATTAACCCCAAGTCTCTGTCAGCAAGCTGCTTCAGCAAGCACCCAGACCCCCCTCAAAACCCATCTCATCCTGCTGACCCTCTTGGATGTCCTGGTGTTCAGTGGGCCAGGAGTGCAATGAGGACCATCCCACCATGGTGACAAGCTCTCAGTACTCACCCTGAGTGTAGCCTCCACCTCCTGCCCAGCCCCTGGCTGCACATCAATAAGCGTGTACTTCCCTGGGTGGGCAACAAAATTCTCCCTTGTTGCCCAGCTGTTCTTGGTCTTCTCTCGAAACTTCTTCTCAAAGTCCTTCTTGGCAGCTTCCAGGGAGGCACAGGGCATGAGCTTGGACTGGCCTGGCTCTCCCTGGCAGTGGAGAGCAGTGGTCAGGACCTCCCCTGCATCCCTGCTCCACCAGCCCCATGCCAGTGGAAGCAGGCAGGCAGGAACAAGGGGGGCTGTGATCACAAGGCTGTGGGGCAGTGAGCAGGAATATGCTGAGCCACCAGCTCAGGAAGACACCCACTCTTTGCCGGGCTGTCACACTCACATTCACTGCAGGGACAGGTGCCACATGCCCCAGACAGGCTGACTGTGTTGTGTGGGGAAAAGTCCTTGAAGCCCCCCCATTAAAGTGCTATAGCAGGACACTTGGGTGCTTGCTTTGGGACCAGGGACCACTGGGTTCACCCTCAATTTTTGGGGCTCTGAAAGCAGGTGGGGCCATCTGAGGTGCAGGGGATGAGTGATGCCTGGGTGGACTCACCACACGGCCCCAGCGGCTCCACACACTGTAGGCACCATCGTGCTCCAGGAGCTGGAGGATGTAGAACTTGTTGTTGTTGGCACTGATGTTGGTCTGGTTCAGGGTGCAGTCATAGTCCTCATAGACCTACAGCAAGTGACATGGCCTGGGCTGGCACCTGGGAGCGTTTGGGGAAGGAGAGGGTGCAGAAATGTCCCAGTGGGAACACACGGGGTCTGCAAGGGAAATTGGGGCTGCCCCTGTGTCACCGGGGCAGGGGCTGGTCTGAGACTGCCCCAAGCCTCCCACCCCTGCCCCTCTGAGCAGCTCAGCCCTGCTCTCACCCGGGCACCCAGTGCTGAGCTCAGGGGGCACAGCCCATCAATTGTGGCGGGTGGCTTCTCCTTGGGAGCAGTTTTCAGGCTTGCCAAGGTGGAGCTCCAGGTGTCATCTTCCTCTTCCACTTTCGGTTTCTTCTCCCTGCTGTCTGGCTGCTTCGAGGAGGAAGCTTGGCGCTTGGAAGCCATGACTGAGCCCCCCCTGCTGTCACCGGTCCGCACAGCCTTAATCCCCCAGAAAAATCCTTGGAGACAGCAGAGGGAGAGGTGAGAAATGCCATGCTGCCCTTCCGGGAAAGTCCAGTGGGCTGTGCCTTGCTTTCCCTTTGCTTCAGCCCACATCAGGGCTGGAGGAGGGGATGGGACCTCTGGCCACAATCCTTTCCCTGTGTTCAGGGTGAGTGGAAGAGCCTCTCAGCACCCTTCAGCCCTTGAGGGAACCCAGAATGGAAAGAGCCCAGAGACACAGGGGAGCTGTGCCCCCACCTCCCCTCACCAGGAACCCCCAATCCACAGGAATGTGTCCCCAGGGCTCGGCCAGCTCTGTGCCCCCAGGGACATGCAAGAGGGGAC